GTATGCTCCCAGGCTGCTGAAACCTGGGTGTATGACATGCCTTCTTCCAAAGTGGGAACATGGCATTGTCCTTCACTGTAGTCTCCACGAGCCCAAGCACGGCCATCGCTTCGAAGAAGCACTGTGTGGGCAAATCCTGCCAAATCCATGACACCGAATCCTCGCGCCCGGGAAACTTACACTCAGATTGGTTACCTTTGTCGTCTGCAGTTTAATTTCTGCACGCAAAAAGGAGCCTTTTCACACTGACCGTGGAAATCATTGCCTTGTCGAAGTGCTCATCATCTGCTCAGCATGTTTGCCCAAAGGACCGGGTCATTCTACAGAACTTGGCTGGGTGAGGGAGCCCTCACCTGTACATTAATCATCATTGATCTAATCCTTGCAGCAAAAATCATGAAGAAGTACATGGGCAACGAACTTTGAAACCTACACCTGCTGAGATTAACATGGAACCATATGGAACCTGAAGATTTAAATCTTCTACCAACGCTGCGTCTGGATCCATCAGATCGGAAAAAAAATAAGAAAACAAAGGGGAACTTGGAAGTTGGGAGCCACCAAAGACCCATTTGGAAGATCCAAAGTCCACTCAAAACCATTGGTGTTTTGTGAGACTCCAGGCTCCCTCCCGATAGAATATACACATCCAACTCAATCGGTTCCTCATGTTTCTCCCAGGAGTTCCATGTCGGGGTGCTTGTTGAAGGATAGGGGTGCCCAGCTACTCCACCTCCACTCACTGGATGGGACTCAAAACCACAACTCCATGTAACCCCTGGTCTGTATCTATATAACCAGTTAGCCCCCGCTCTTCTGATCCCAGGCGCATCTTGAACGGTCTTGGAATCGATGCCATGTGGTAAAACCTCGGGCGGGTGGTGTTGCACCACGTGGCCACCACAAAACACTCCGTGAAATCATGGCTACGTGGATGCCCCGCGGGGCGAAAATGAGATGCCCTTGAGTTCCAGGTGGGTGTTCACTCCACCTACAGTGAAACCTCAGAGAAGATGGCACGATATCACCAATGTCGATGGTGGAAATATTGGCCCCCATCCAAAAGACATGTAGCGGTGCCAATGCCATCTACTCTCAAACCACTGCGTCCATGATTTCCTGGGGGAGTGCCAGGGCCCTTGATGACTTGATTTCAAGGCCTTCGATCACGCATGACAAGACCAGGACAAACCCAGGACGCTTGCTCGACCAAGCGAACGGAGGTGATAATGATTGTACGTATCTCAACAAAAAACTAAAGAATGTTAACCCAGAAATATTAAGTAATTTACACATGTCCGTAATGTTTCTATATTTTTATATACACAAGTGTCGTATTTCATAGTTATACATACGTCTTTAGTTGCGTTTAAAACAATATGTTACTTCTATGCGAAAAAAAGTCAGCTCTTGTAACCCGAAAAAAATAACCATATAATGTATATATCCGCCGACCCCAGGTGTCGATTGCACTGGCAGCGGGAAGACACTGATCTATCTCTGGAAGATAGAAATAAATAATTGGTTCAATTGCGCAGCTTCAAAAGCTAGGAATGGTTCACCAGTCACTCCAAAAAGCAAAGCTGCGGTTACACTTTTCTCACATCCATGGCCACCGTAAACGCCCGACAGACAGGCTTGTGCCAAATTATATGGCATTCGCACTCATGACATGTTGAGGCAACAGGCTCAAAACCACATCGATAAAATTTTCTTCTTGCTCAACATGTCCACTTGCCTCTGACTCTTTTGCACTGCTTCTTTCCCGACGCTTTCTCTTCGCCGAAATGAATTTCGAATCCCAAGAGATACCAACAACACCTCTTTGGATCATGTCCAAAAGTTTGTCCACTTCAAAGATTTTCGTGAGATCATCAGCTCTTTGTTGGTCAGAATCAGTCCATTTCAAGTCCGTGTTTGTGGTTTCCGTCCTTTCTTTTATGTTCAGAATCTCCAAAGACAAACGGTTTTCCTCCATTTGTAAACCAGATGACACAACTCTTTTCACCGAGTCATACAGGTTTTTGGCATCACAAACCACTGCAGCCGGGATGCTCGCAATGCATTCATCTGAATTTCTGGCCTTAATGCCTTGTTCGTGGAGAATCTCATACATCACCTGTTTCACAAATTCTACTTTGTCATAAGTGTTAGCGCATTCCTGAACCTCCGCGCAAGCAGAACTCCTAGCTAGTCATTTTAGCTTTCTGCTGTGCCAACTAAGTATTGAAAAAGGGGCGACATGTCCGTCCAAAACTTTCCGATCAGTCAACAAGGTGATTGACCCTCCCTGAGAAGAACCGTCCGCTCTGTTTGCATGACTAGCATCCGTGAAGGAAAGAATCATAGGATCTCTAATTTCATGAGAAAACTTCAAGCATACTTCAGCCTTAGCCCTTTGTAATCTACACAGTTTGTTGGCTTGCAAAACCTCCTTCACAGTCGCAGAACGATTGTGTCCTTGGAGAATAGACGTGGTTGCGTTCAGCCAGGGCGCTGTCTGATTCGCTCTCCAAGCGAGTCCTCCAAGAAGTCCTTTCATTTCATGTTTTTCCTTATCAGTAGCTTCATTTTCCAGTTCTTGTTTTCTTTCTTTCGTCATGTTTACCTCATTCAAACCTAAAGCATATCTTTCTTGTTTCAGGTTGATTTCTCCATTGTTCTTCTGAGAGAGCTCACATCCACAGAACACAGTCTTTTCCTTTTGCGCGCTCTTCCAACTCCCGAACGGAAACGTTTTTCGAAGTTCAGTGATTTTAGCTTCGTAAACCGGACCAGACCCAGAAACTATAACATCATCCACATGAACCCCCAACAAACCAACCAGTTTACCTTCACTAAACAACCGCCAAATACATGGTTCGAGAACACATTGTTTCCACCCTTGGTTTTTGAGTTCCTTGGCCAGCTTGCTCAACCACTGTCTGGGAGCATTCAACAAACCGTAAATTGCTTTCCTAATTCGAAAACCCTGATCTTTTGTCATGCCGAGGTACGTTTTCACATCATCCGGAGGATTGCCGAATATCATCCGAGAGAGTTCCGTGTCGTCTCCGTTTAAAAAGGCCGTTTTAACATCACCTAGACACAGTTCACAGTTCCCATCCAAAATGGCTTGTGAGAGACAGGAGAAGATTTCTGCCAAGTGTCGACAAAGTCGGTGAGTCCCGACTGATGTGGAGCCAATCTGGGTCCTGAAAACCTTTGATGATCAGCCTAGCTTTGGCCTTTCGGCCAGTCAGAGTCCCTGATTCATCTGTGATTGGTTTCCAAACTAACACCCATCTCATACCTAGAATCCTATCTTTGTCAACACCATGAAGATTGCATATGTCCACAGCAACGTGTTGGCAGGATCGAGCTCCAGAGGCTCCATCCCCAGGCTTCCGGCAATCTGTCTCGCCACGCCTTTCCACCATCTAATTCCACACCAAAAACCACCCAGGACTGCTCTCTCACTGCCAATCGTCGCTTTCTGACAGCAGTAAACTCCTCTTCTGATCCTCTTCCCGAAGCCGTGCTTTCTCGTCGAGTGCGCTCCCACACACCGCGCTTTCCCACGGCGAGACAGATTGCCGGAAGCCTGGGGATAGAGCCTCTGGAGCTCGATCCTGCCGTGGGAAAGCGTGGTTTGCATCTGAACCCATTTCCAACAATTCTTTGCCACTCACGAGCTTCTAAACTCATCAACAATTCTTTTTTCTCGAGCTGAAACGATTCCCACTCGAACAAGTCTCAAGAACGCTTTTCGTCCATCCACATGTTTGATCTTGCTAGTCCCCTTCCCAGTACAACCATGCCCACGGGCTCTACTCTTTGCCGCCAACGCTTTTTTCTTACTCGTCAACTTCCGGTTGATCCGTTGCAACGTCATCAACGTTCACACCCCGTCTGTTCTCATCTTCCGACCCCCCTCGCATGCCTTTATAAGGAAAGGCTAACATCTCCTCGCTGAGCGGCTCTTTCATCCCAGAGCACATCACCTTCCACGTTGCATGCACTCTTTCAGCAGAGATGACTGATGTAAAATCTCTCTCGTACGTACTTCGGGCTGCTTCTGTCTGTGAGCTCGCTGGACGACCACTTAAAGCCCAACATTAATCTTCACACGGTGGCTGTTTTTATGGTCCCCGTGTCCACTAGTCTGGTCCCATCTTCTGGGAAGATGTCGCCACCACCAGTCCCTGCCAAAAAAGTCCAGGTTCTAAAGGCTGCATCGAAGAATTCCTAACTTTGTGCCTCCTTCATGACTTCATGACTAGCAGACTCCTCCTCCTCATCTTCGTACAAGTGCTTCTGATCTTCGGCCGGCTTTTCTTGGTCTCTATTCATACCCATTGGTCTAAGGACTTGAAGGCGCGGCTCCTGATCTAAACCCCGTTTGAGATTGCGTGTCATCAACCGCTAGGGGTGCATCCTTCTTGGCCGCTGCTTCCTATCATGGACGCTTTCCAGACGTTCATGCAATTACCTGTCCTTCCATCGCCCCAGCACTCCCCTCCGCACCTTCTCCTTCGTCCACGCGCTTTTCAAAACCTGTCCCAGTTCCTGCACGCGCGGGTCATGAATTAACGTTGATGCAATTTAAAGAGTGAAGGTCGAAGTGTCCCTGTCGAGACCCTTGCGAATGAAACAACCGTTGCCAACACATGCCACCTCCTGAAAGTACCTGCTAGACGGGTTTTGTACCACCCAGACGCTCATGGGCCCTCATATGGAGCGGGTTTCTGCAACATTTTCCCCTGTCTTGCCTCCACTTTTGCTTTCAGCTTCTCCACCTCGACATTCACATGGGCCAAACCATGTGGAATCCCCTCTGCGCAGACTTCACAAAGTATCAAGGTATCACTTCGTACATGTTCCAAGAGCGTTTGTGGCAAATTTCAGGCGCGTCCTCATGAAACTCGAAATCGAGTCCTACGGCTTCAGTACAACATGACGTCTAGTGAGAGTCAATTATACTGCGGTCATTGACAAGGACAGGAAAATGCTGCTTCTTGACATTCACCTCGAATTCAAGTTCTGGCCAAACATACACTCCAAACAAAAAAACATTCATCAGGCCCAACGCTTGACACGTCAACGTATCTTGAAAGACGCTTTCGACCCCCGCGCCCGCCGGATGTGCAAAACTGACGTCTTTGGGACCGCGAAGACGCGAACGCTCTCAGTGAAGGACTTTCAAAGGAAACGCGTTGCATAAGTATTGAAAAATAAAGACAATATTTCGATACAATCTTGCTACGCATGTCACTAAAGTTGTTGAGCACGGAAGACTAAAACGTGCTACGTAAGAAGAATGAATCAGCAAGTTCAAGAGACTACGTTCCAACGTGACAAATATCTTGGGTCTAGGCCCCCCTTCGCGCACGCCACGTGCTTCTCGCGCCTCTTCACCCCGGCGCTGTTCCGCTTCCAACTGCTCCTGTGATCGGACCTGCTGCTGACACAGGCATCGGACACCAGGTACCTCACTCTACATCACAAACCCTCAAACATCACCTGACAACGTTGAAGCATCCCCATTTTCAAACGCAAGAGCTCCGTAGCCTTCCGCGCTTGCCTTAGCTTTTCTTGCTCCACAGCGATATTGGCATTCTCCAATGCCTCACCGTGGGCGCCTTTGTTCCTAGTACCAATGCTAGAACAACCCCTAGTAGCTCCTTGTTCCTTGCCTCACAAAAACCCATCTTAGCTTATTCTTCCTCATCTCTACTCCAGCCCTGGGCCTCTACTAGAGTCCTTGCCCTTTCTTACTTCAACCTACTCCAGGTCCACAGCCCCCTGCACCTTCAAACTCCTCGTGGCATGCCCAAACGACCCCGCTGGCGTCCTATGTCAAACTCTGTGTCTCCTCGTTGGCCTGATT